GTGCGAAGATATCATTTTTGAGGGTTTTTTCTTGTGTGCCAGCGAATGTGCGTTCTTGTGATTGTGGGGTTTTTTCCATTTCGTTTTTGTTTTTATGTTGTTGTTTTTTGTATTTGTTTGTTTGGAGGGGGGGGGGGCGGGAAAGGATAAGACAAAAAGGACGAGAAAGATTGACCAATATTCTGGCAGACTGACAGAAAGACTGAAAGGCTAACAGAAAAACAGATGAGCGGGCAGAAAATGAGACATTGAGACCTTGAGACCTTTGGAAGAAAATGCCATGACGTCGTTGTCAGCCGTATCCGATGGCTTCACCAAGGTTCCTCTTCAGTTTGACGGTTTTGTGAGCCAGATTGATTGTTCAAGCCGTAGAGTGCCCAGAATATTGTTCCAGATGATAGGGGATGTCGTGCCGTAGAAGGCCCAGAATATTACTCCTTGTGATAGAGGGTGTTTCATTTTATGCTGGAGCATGTCCGGGAAGCGGAGTTTAATCTTCTGCATCCCTTCTCTGCATAACCCAGCGCTCTTTTGGGTTCTTTATTACTATAATAGCGTAGGCCTGGCGGGCGGAACGGTTTGACGAATCTTGGATTTCTCTGAGGCAATTGTCTTGCTCTTTACCTCGAACGAAGAGAACGTGGGTTCTACTCTCACTTTAGCAAAACATTTTTCAGAGTCTTTTCCGTCTTTTTGTCGGGATGTGTCTCTTCAGCACTGGAACCGGGTCGGCCCCGCCTTGCTTTGGCAAAATGGAGTCGATTTGGTCGTAAAGCAGTTCCCAGCGGACACCTTAAAAGTAAAGGATTCAAAATACATTAAATGTAAATACATTTTATAGCCGACAACTTGAAGTGTGGAAAAAGTGAACGATTGATGCTCTAGCCTAGTTTTCAATGTTATTATTTGCCCAATCTGTTCAGCGGGTGATTGGTGGGTGCCGCTTGTTGGCTCTGCTGCTTTTCTCTCCCCTATATCTATCTATATTTCTGTTTCACTGCACTAAATGACCATTACTTTGTCGAATTACTTTGCTTTACTCTATCGATCTATCTGTTCCTTGTAAAATATGGCTTGTTGGGACATTACGCAGGCACTCCGATTTGGTTTCTCTCAACTACTATCGCTTGTGGGCCGGTTCGATTGGTCCATCTGGTGTCTGCTTTCCCATCAAGAGGGGGCATAACTCCCCTACTAGCAGGGTGCCACTGCTATACAACGCCCTACCTTGAGGTAGCATCGTTTCTCCATACATTGTATCAACAGTATGCTCTGTTCAGTTTTCTCCCGTGGCCACCCGTGGACTGGTGTGCCGGTTTGGCGAGGACAACTACCTTGGGCGCGCTCCGTTAGTTCAGTTGGTATCATGCTGGACTATGGAGCGGTTTGGCCATGGTTCGAATCCCGGACGGGGGGTCGTGAAGTCGGGTCGTTTTGTGGAGTTTTCAAGACCCTCAACCCATTTGGCTCTGTCCTCGGACGATACATTTGGGGGTATCGCATTTGAAGTAACCTGTGATAGTGTAATAGGGGCGTTTACAACCCCCCTGAAACTCTGCCGGGTCCGACTCACGTTCTCAAATGACCACTTTCTTTATGTCTAGTCGGGCGATTGACTTGGTTGGTGATTAGAGAACGTCGCGGATATATCAAATTTCTTTACTTTCTCTCTTTTGTTTTCTGTCTGTCCGTCGTAGACGCATCCTTAACTCTGGTAACATGCTGGAGTACGGAGTGGATGGCCCTGGTTCAAATCTACAAAATTACATGCTGAAGTTGGGTTGTTTTGGCGGGATTTAAAAAAAAGCCTTTCCACCCATTTGTCTCGATCCTGTTGAAGATGGAAGTTAAATTCGGAGGTCACGCCTGTGAAATAATCTTACAGTGTTGAAAGATACCTTAAACTTCTACAATGACTAATGATAATAATAAGTCTGCACTGATTTCTTCCAGCACTAAATGGGTCGATGTCCTTCCCTGTGCTCAAATTCTACATTTCATTTTTGGTGTTCGATTCATGGTGTGGTTTGCACCTTTTTTTTTTTGTATCTAACGTCCATCTTCGTTATCTTTCCTCCTTCTTTTTTTGTGTTTGCTACTCTCTTGTAACGTCTCTAATCGTCGGACTTGCATGACTCAATTGTATCACAAGTGTTGTAAAACCCTTACCAAAACAAACAAACCAACAAACAAATTTGTAAAAGACCAATCTGTCTTTTCAGAAATGCCCGGGCTGATGGCGCTCCGGAGACGTGCAGAGGCGGACAAGCCCCTGCAAGGTGCCAAGATCATCGGATGTACGCACATCACCGCACAGACAGCCGTGAGTACACTGCACTTGTTTTTTGCCCAGTCTTTTGAGCTACTGCTTTAGCTGTTTCTTTGCCATTTGTTACGATGTCTGTCTCTGTCTCTGTCTCTGTCTGTCTGTCTGTCTGTCTGTCTGTCTGTCTGTATGTCTGTCTGTCTGTCTGTCTGTCTGTCTCTCTCTCTCTCTCTC